TTCCTTTTCAGCTAGCGCATTAACACTTCACCAAATGCCATGTTATTGGAAGTTAACACATTCAGCCTCATTTTTACCTGGATTTTTTTTTCAGATCATACCCACATTTCATACTTTTGCTGTTCAAATGATGCATTATCTTGGCCTAAGTAGTGAATACATTGAGAGTAATAAGATGAAGGGAAAGAATATGACATTTGGAGAATTTTCCCAGATGAGATAGGATGGAGAAAGGAGTCGTTTTCTAATTTATAATGAAATCTAAACTCAGATGAGCTCCCCGAGAGTCCTTTGCCGGCTGGCCGTGTCGCCAGGACTGGCGGATGCCAGCGGAGCAGGGATGCTTCGCCCGCCTTCCTGCTGCGGGACCGCGCTCAAGTGCGCGGGTCTCATCGCACGCCCTTGTGCCCGGAACCGAGGCCGTGCAGAACTCGGTATTAACTTCCCTCGTGTTTGATAATTTGGAGAACTAATAAGCTATTTTAAGGACAGTCTGTATTTTTGAATAACTTTCCTTTGAGGTTCTTAAAATATTAACACAACTTTTAAGGTCAGYGGTCCAACTGTGTAAATTATTAAATGCTTCTGAATTTTTTATAACTTTCCCCAGCAATGCAGACTGATTTTTTTCCTTGTGCTCACAGTCCATGGGTGTGCAGTACACAATGATATTGTGCAGCCTTTTGTTTTTTAGATCCTAGGTATTAATGTGAATTCRAACCACTGTATTTATTAGGGAAATGCAAACCCTGTCTGTCATCCTTCCTTTCCCGCTTTCACAGCCAAAGGATAACAGCATACCTTGGTGTTTTGGGATGTTGATTATTTGTGGATAAACCTACTGCTAGTTGCTTGCTGTAGCACTGGAACTWGAGGGAAAACTTAGCTCGTGCAAAATTTTGCACCAGACTTTTTTTTTTTTTCTGCTTAATGCAGTTGAGCCGTGTCTCCATTTCCTTAGTGCGTGATGACCTCCATGAGGTTAGGAAGGGTTGGATTTGGAGATGTTTGCCTGCAAAGCAGCAGCTCTTCTAGATGAGCTGTAGCTCCCTTTGGTAAGAATTTTGTAAAACCTGCAGCTTGTTTCATATTTCCCTGGTAAAGGTCTGCAGCAGCTCAAACAGGTGGTGTTTGGGGACCACTGTCCACCCCTGTCCCCAAGTTCTGATTCTGGCTCTGTTCTAGTGTTGCTTCTACATCATCCTGTAGCCAAAGAATAAAAATGCATGGAATAACCACAGACATCTACACAGCCAGATGTGAACGTTGCAGCATGTTGTCTGGGCTGGCTTTTGGATGCTCGTGGTCCTTATTAATAGAAACCAGTGCAAGCTTTTCTGGACAGTGACGGTCAGGTCAGCTGCATAACTAGCAGCTGTGTAAAAGCTGCAAAGCAAAAATAACCTTCACCCTTCCCCACACCCACCCCTACGAAACAGACTCTCCAGACCAGGCGAGTTATTTTCTCACTTCTTAAAGGGAGTGCTAGAAAAAGGGACTATAGAAATATTCCCCTACCTAGGCTGTGGCACCCTTACTGGTAAGTGGCACGTGGCCATTTTTGTTGTGTGTTCTGTTTTAGTTGCCCTAACACCCTGTTTGAGCTTTGCCTGGTTAAAAAGAAAAGATTTTGTGTGTGGGTTTGAGTGTATGTGGTTTGTTTTGTTTTCTTTTTGTTTTTTATGCCTGCAACTCTTTGAAGTAAGAGATTCTGTTCCTGTATCCCTCTAATTCTAGCTTTATCAAGGCATCATGTAAACCTACCTACTTTTTTGAATTTCATCCTTAATGAATAGAATACTTTGCAGTGGATCATGTGCTTAGTACTGCAAAACTACAATTCTATGCATAATAAATTTTAGAAAAAGAAATAGAAATTACAAGGAACTTAAAATTTAGAGGAAGTGGTGTGGGATGCTGCTGCTCCTGCTTAACTCTACAGCACGTGCATAGCACCAGGTACCATGATCTTCAACACAGCAGTTCCAGCGCCCAACAGGAGTTTCACTTTCATTTCACAGGTGTGTTGACCCGAATCTTACTTTCGTGTTGCTGGAATCAGATATGAGATGTCTTGTGATGCTGCCGGGCCCGTGGGCAGGCTGACGTGGCCGCCTGTCGCGTGTCCTGTCGTGCCTTGCCTTCTGAAGCTTCACTTTTCAGGTGGAGTTACCTTGCGTGATGCTCGTGTCAATGACGGCTACCAACATTCAACATTTCTGAAAATCACATGCAGATTGTCTCAAGTTGGATGTCCCAAATCTGCAGAAAATGCTCCTAATTAGGTTTTGCTGGAGGGTGCTCTCCGAAACCACCATGAGAAGGGGTGCTGTGATTGAAGTCTCTTCTGCTCTGGCCTCTGATTTCAAAATGAGTGTCAATAAACACAGCGCCTGATCAAAAGACATGCAAAGCATGAGGTCCCCTCCTGCTGCATATTTATATGTTGCAATGTGTTATAAATACATTAAACTCAGTAGAAAGCGTTGCAGCTTCTACCAATCGGCTGTTGTTGAAGAGCTAGCCGCTTCATCRGTGGACATGCTTCTGCATGCGGGTGCAGTCTACTGGGCTGCTGGAGGGGGAGAGMGCATCAGGCCCACGACGGTCCTTTTGTTCCCCTTCCACTTGGAAGGTATTGGCTGTTAATTCTTGAAGTTTCTCAAGGGCTCTAGAAATAAAAATAAAAAAAAAAAAAAAGTAAGTGTGGGAGGTTTAAACTACCTTAACATTGGCTACTGCACAAGCCAAAGCAACGGATGTGAAGTGCGGGTGATCTGGGGGAGATTTCTCCACCTTTCAGAAGTAGAGGGCTGTCCCTTCAGTAATTTTTGAATGTTTTGCATTGATGTTGAAGGAAGCTTTGTGTCTATGGCTTCATCTAAATCAATGTCCCTACGCCAGGAACAGAATCCAGTGGTTCCAATGYTCCTCTGTGAGAGGAGAGAAAGGAGGACTGTGGAGCCTCCTTTGACCTCCTTGGCATTGAGCCCACTGCCATGTCATAGAACAGCTCTCCACAGATGGCATACACCATTTTTATATGGCTTAGTTTTGAGTATTATGTAAGAGTCAGAATGGTGATGTTGGAGCTAGATGTGAGYTTTATCCCCTCTTACTCTTGTGTGCATAAGAATAGAATGGGGAAAATCCAGGCTGTATCTGCCAACTTTGTATTCAAGGTAATTTCATCTTCTGCATAGGAGTAGGTGTGCTGCAGTTCTGGGGAAGCCCTGACCAGATTTGGCTCTAACAAACTGCAGGCCTCCCAGAACAGGGGTGGAAAAGTGCAAGGCTGCACGTCTAGCTCTGCAAACCCAGAGGTTTCTCTCTCCACGTTAAACATGTTGATCCCTCCTGAGTATATGCATTTATTGGTTCAAACTACTTCAATGCTTTTTTCCTTTTGGGAAGTTAAATATTAAAGTGGGAAAACAGCTGTCAAAGTGGAGAGGTAACTTCTTTTGGTGATAAGAGGAAGGGWTTTACTTGCTTGCAACTGCTTTGTCTGGAAGGTGACCCAGGTGGAAAATTATGGGTGTATCTGTAAAGTCAATGGCTAATGAGCAGCAGGGGCTGATCTTGGAGGGGGAGCAGCAAGTCTTATCAGTCTCTTGCTTATTGTGTTTTATGGACATTAATGTTTGTGGTATTCTGTGAGTTAGTGAAGTACTGTGAGGTAAATATTAATCTTTTATTATATATAGCAAGAGATTAGAAATGATTTGCTTGCGGTCATGGTGAAAATCATTGCTGAAACTTGCAGTAATTTTTAGGGGTTCTTGTGTTCCTGTCCTGCAATCACAGGTACRTTAATGATCTTTCCAAGGTTTAATTTCTCAAGATAGGTGTGTAGCACAAGACCAACAGCCTACATATGCAACCTACCTATATGCACTACTTGATGTTTAGTAAGCGGTCTGAGATTCCTGGCTCTGGTCGGTCTGAGCAGTGGAGACCAATCTGGAGAGCTCTGAGGAGAAGCAGCAATGAGTGAGGATCTCAAGCACATGCTGAACTGGAAGAGCCTGGACTCTGTTTTCAGTGTGACTTTCCRTTTAAAACCCCTTACGGAGCTAAGCACCTTTCTGAAGGAAGCAATAGTCACAGACAAGCAATTCTAAAACCCCAGCATGAGCAAAGGTGCCCTGGAGAGGCCGGTGCCCGGGAAGCCCCGCGCCGCCCCACGGGCTCCCTTTCCCCTTGCAGAGCTCGTGYGTCGGGAGGAGCTGCCAGATCTACTGAAGGGGGGAAGCCTGGAGGAGAAAACACATGGTGGGCATGTGGAACAGGGCTGGAAAGCTCTGGAAGGGACTGTGGGCAGAGCCAGCGCCGTGGGACATGACTTGTGGAAAATGTGAGGGGCTCAGCTTGGTTGCTGCCTCCAGCGAGTTACRTTAGTCTGATTGCGTAGGTAAGCTAATGCAGCTCTAAGTATTTAAGTTTATGAAAGTATTGACTCCCTGTTCCTTTCATTTAGTTCTTYTCCTTGGAATATGCCTGGGTCAATCCAAACTGCAACAATTCTAGTAATTTTCAACTGCTTTGACCCATAAGTCTTTTTTATTTTCCATCTCTGCTGCACTGTTTTTAATAATGTTCTGTATGCCAAGATCTCAGGGAAAAAAAGATTAGTGTATTCTTTGGGTATGATAAAGAGAATATTTTTGTTCAGAAGTGTGTGATGAGAAGCATTGTGTAGAGAATATTTTCTCACATTAGGCAGCTATCTAGTGGATTAAACTCTCTTGCAGAGCTTTGATCAGATGTTTGTGGTGTCAGGCTCAAGGGCTGGTGACGACTGCTCAGTAAATCCTCAAGTGTTTAATGCAACCCTGAAATAACAGTTTGGGACAAGGATAGTTTCAAGGTAGATAGGGTGGGAAGAAAGGGCCCTGAGCAGGAAGAATTTTTGACAGCAAAGCCGGTGCCAAGGAGCAGTGCTGTGTTTCTGTGTTCCCTCTTTGTTAGAGATTTCTCTTAGCAGATGAAAGGAGATTGTGTTTTCTCTCTGATTTTAAACCCAGTGATATGCCATGAAGACACTTCTTACCCACACACTGATTTAATGAATCTGTAATTTTAGGCTTGTCTGTTTGGAGGGAAGGGATTTTCCAACATTTCCCGGGAAGAGTTTCTGAAAAGCAATAGCTGTAATGTTAAAAACCTCTGGCACTTTTTTTCTTCCTCACAGGCAATAACAGGAGCTTTCTTGCGTCTCTAGCAGTGTTTAATTGCACCCGAGTTCTTCCCGACTGGCAAATGGCAGCTCGTCTGCACGGCAGAGGCTCTGGCCTGGTCAATGGGAAATGCAGCTCGTGTGGGCCCGGATTGTCTGGGCTTGGCTGTGCAGCCTGTTGGGTTTTTCTGTTCTCCTTTGGYACTGCAGAAGATGGTTAGAGAGGCCTGAAGTTGGGAAAATGCCTTTTTTTCCCCCATTTTATATGGGCTKTGTGCTCCAGTTGTCTTGCAGTGGAGCCCTGCGTCCTGGGCAGGGGCAGCACAGTGGAAATGAGGCCTGGTGTGTCTCTGTTCATGGAAAGTTTCCTTATTCTTTCCATTGCTTTCCCCACCAGGGTGAACACACGTGCAGCCTTCTGTCGAATAGGGACATCTTGGTGCCTGGCCGGTCTGGATTTCCTTTGGGCATCCTACAGCCAAGGGTCCTGTTTAATAACAGCTGCCGAATTGGAGGATTTGGTGGCGTGTGCCCTTTGGCAGGGAATTGGGGAGAGATTTTTCCCCGAGCATCAAGTTCTTGGTCACTTGGGAGCGCAGTTCTGAGCTTTGCCGACACCTTCTCAGCACAGATGAACTGCAAGGCCGATCCCCAGCACGTCCCCTTTGGAGGCCGGATGCTTTGGGTGGGTCGGGATGGTGCCGGTTACCTCCCGGCTGGGGATTCCCAGCGGTCCGGCAGCTGCTGGGGTTGGTGTAGGAGCCCGCAGGGGCTTTGCCCCTGGCCCTGCCTGCCCAAGCAGCAGTGTGGTTCCCTTCTTTGCAGTAACTGTGACCTTCAAACTCGCTCATGACAAGCGCTAGACTCGAGATTGTTTGAAAGTTAACAATTTCAAACTAATGTGACACTTCTTTCCTCTCTCCTGTGGACATTCTCTAGGCAGCTGTTGGCAACCTGTTAGCCCTCAGATCAAGCCCTGCTGACAGTCCTTTTTCTCCTTCTCCCTTCTTTTCTCTTTTTAATCCCCTCTTTGATTCTCTGTTTCACTTTGAGGGCAGAGTAGGCGCCCTGTTTCAAACTAGAAGAGCTCCAAGACTGCCTGACATCATCTGAGCTGCATTTTGCTGTGCACTTGTCACTTGGCAGGCACCAAGACCGTCTCAGTGGGGGCTTTTTATAGTCATAATTAAAATAATAATAAAAAAAGTCACCACCCACCCAATACACTCTTATTTTTGTTGCAGCTGCTGGGGAATTTGAATGTCTGGGCAGACTGGGGCTGACTGAAACTCTAATCATTAGTTTGCAAAATTACTTCTGATGTATTTTAAGCAGCTCCAGAGTTTCTGTCAACATGACTGTGAGACTGTTTAAAGTGCTTTGCTTTAATGSGTCCCAGAATCCAGGCAAACATTCAGGTCAGTTTAGTACCAGGCTTTTCCCAGGTAATTAGCAGGTAGAATTACCTGGTAGCAGCCAGTGCTTCTCCCTGTGATCTGTCTGCAGAAGCTGCAGCCGAGCCCTTCCCATCTCCAGCGACCCTGCAAACATGTCTGATTTAATGTGTCAATAGGGATTTCCTTCCTGTTTTTTTCATTCCTGATGCCAGGTTGTGAATTTTCCTTTCAGAAGGCCAGACTCCAAGTGAGATGGATATATTGAACATGTGGATTTCAAGGAAATGTTTTTCCCAGCAACTGTAAATGTGTAAAAGTACTCAGAGCTCATTCTCCTCTCCACATGACTTTTCAACAGGTTAAATAAATGCATGTAGCAGAAACTCAACTCTATGATCCACACTTACTAGGGCTGATGAACGCTGGCCTGGCCGGGGTGTTTCCTGGCCAGCAATGCACCATTCCAGGAATTCTGGATTCTTTGGGGATGCTCTGGTGCTCTCCAATGCTGACTTGATTATTTTAACTACTGGTGAGACACATGTGGCTTTGCAGTCTCCCTCGGCTCTGTGCTTGCAGCAGGGAGGGAGCAGACGTGCTGGGCCGTGGCGCGTGGCCGCAGGACGTGCACAGACCTTCTTCCATCGGCAGGTTCAGCGTCGTGGCAGCGACTGCCCTGGGGAACGGGGCATCAGAGGCTGTTGAGCTTCCCAGACTGCCTGATTCTCATAAATAACACTTTCTTTTCYACCCTGTTGCATGGGGGAGAGGAGTGTTGTCCTTTTCTGTGTCAAAAAAGTCGTGTTCTGTGTGGGGGAAAGATTATGTCCTACTGGTAAAGGGCGTTATCCCAAAGGTTGGGTAGATATTTGTATTATATATCTCTGTGTATTTGTAAACAGTCCTTTGAGTCCATCTGTGTGATGCTGGAAGTTAGTGATGTTTCTTGAGTCTCCTRGAAGACCACTGGCATCCCTGATGTACGGGGAAAATTAGAAATAAACCCATCTTGGACAAAGCTGTTGAGTGTTTCAGAGCAGTCCTGGAAACTCGACATGCAATATTCTTACCTGCCCAAGTTGAAGTRTTTGGGAACCAGCGGGCACTGCAGCAAGGGTTGTTAGCTGAGGGGTCCAGCACAGCAGCAGACCCGCATCTGATCATCTCTTCATTGTGGCATCTTCTCTTCTTCTTAGAAAAGCATCCTTTTAGCAGAATAATTAGTATAGACTTTAGAGGACTGTGTTTGCCATTCACAATTCTGTTTTCCTTTTCATAACTTAAAAGTCCCAACTTAAAAATGAATCTTTGATGTTCCCCTATGCTGCTTCTGGTGGTCAACTTTCGTGTGTGACTTTGTAGGTGAGAGRCAGGTATCAAGGTTAAATGATAGTGGCAGAATATATAGTGGACATGAGCCGTATGTTCATGAGTTTAAATTATGATTTTGTACAAAAGAAAGGTGTTTGGTCAGTTTGAAAGATTCTGCTTTTTTTTAGCAAACAAAATTGGATATAATCAATAAACTACCTCTTATTAAAAAAAACCTGTTTTGCATTTTGGGGGCCTTAAATATATGCAATATATTTCCTTCTAATAAGAACCAGATTCTTATTAGAAGGAAGACCTGCAAGTTTCATGGAGAACACACTCCAAACTGCCTCTCTATTCAGCAGATTAAAATTTGCAGTTCTCCTGTAGCTTAAATGGCAGTCACTAAATCCTCAGGTAAAGCCTGTAACTCTTCRTATAAATTTGATAACGAGAGGAGTGTGCTACCAGCACCTCTGCAACACGAGTAAGCCGCGCTGCATGACTCCACCTATGATGGAGATTTTGACATACCCGGTGGCAACCTGACAGATATGTCATAGTGTCTAATCCCCCAAAGCCCTTTGAAATTGGGTGTTTCTGAAAGACCAGACTGGGAAACACGCTGCTCTTTTATGAAGCCTTTTCCCTCCGCGCCTCAGCAGCAGCGCGATGCCCGTGCTGCTCCCGGGTCAGATGTTGGCCAAGTTTCCCATGCAGGTGAGCACTAACTAGCCTGGCAGCTCTGTTTTGTTGGCAAGGAGGAAAAATGCACGCAGTTTGTGTTTTTAAAGGATACATTTTATATGAACTCTATAGAATATAGTTGTTCTTGCTTACAGTTTGTAAATATTGGAGCTGTGGATTTAGTTGGGAGTTTTATTTTATCCTATATCCTCTTTTGCTTTAAGGGTACGACTCTGGCGTGTTCCGACCTCAATATTTTGACCTTAGAGAAAACAGGCAACATTAGTATTGGTTTGTGATAAGTTCAGAAAGTATTTTGGAGTACAACTTGAAATACTGGTAGTAGCAGAGAAAACCAACTGCCTTCCTGGAAGTGATTTTGACAAAATGACCCCCCGATTTAAATGCAGGCAGCATCTCTAGTGCTGAGATCTGCCAGCATCTGTCTATGCCAGACTGGTGGGAGACTGAGAGGAGGTTTCCTGAAACATCCCTGTCTCTCGCCCGTATATTGTGCTCGGTGGCGTCTCCGTTATTTGGACGACATCCACAGTTGGTAAAAAGAGAAAATTGGGCCAGTTTACATTCTGTTGCAGAGCAGCTTCCTGGATGACGATAATTTCCAATCAAAGTGCCCTGGATTACTCCCTGCTGTGAGCTAATAGGGTGCTAATTAGCATATTTCATTTATTTACTTAAGTGGGATAAAAACAATTGGGCACAGGTCCCATTTACAATGGTTTCCTGGGGAAGCTGCAAACTGCTGTAAGTGCAGCCGGGCTGCRTTAAAAAGATATAAGCTCCCATAAACCTAATGTGCAGGCTGAACACACGCCCGCGTGGCTGCCCGATCTCTTGTACCTCGAGAGTGGCTTAGAGCATTAAATAAAGCTGTATTTCTGTTTCCTTTAAGTCTTCAAGTGGGATAAATGACTCTACGGCAGCGTTTCTGCAACTGGTGGCAGCACTGAACATGTGTTGTGCTATGGGTGGCATCAAGCTTCCCCCTTCCTTCTCGGTGTTGCCTTAATTTCTTGTGACCACTAACAGTGTGGAAGGCTCATGAAGGTGTTTGGTTACCCATGGACTTTGTTGTCCTACCATTTTTTTCTTCTGTTAGGTTAAAAGAAGCAAATAACTACTGTGGTGGAAATRAGTAGTTCCAGTTGATCTGAGGATTCATGAGGATGATGTGATTCCTGAGGTTCTCTAATCTTGAATTGCTGAAGTTCCCCGTCCCAAACCTGGGAAACCCCCCAAAGGTGGCTTGCCCTGCAGCCCACCACGGCCGCTGCTGCCTCCTGCCCTCTGGAGTCTCTGTGCCGTGTTCTACTTCCCCGTTATTTGCCTGGTTTCCAAACCAAATGGTTGCTACAGAGAATTTGTTTTGTCTTTCTCTTGCCCTAAGCTCCCCTGTGTTGGCAAACAATGAATTTGGAGCCATTGCCTACTGTTCTGTTCTGATCGAATTGACGCTCCAGAAGAACATTTCCCCTTCATACCTGTAGTTATAAAACAGATTTAAAGCGTCCAGGGATAATGGTTTATAAACCAATTAGAGTACATAAAGATTTGAGCACTGGGAAATGCTGCATCTTATTTCAATCTAATAAGACTTATTCCCCAGGAGGCACTTTTTTGTGGTGTTTGTGCGGAAGCTGCATATCCTAGAAAAGYATCCTTTCCACCATTCAGTGCCTGACCTCCCGCTGGATGTGGAAACATTATTAATCTCTTCTGATGTGGTGGTATCACCGGTCTCGAGAAATGGAGAGGTGCCAGCTTTTGGGTGCTATCTGTAGATCTAACCATCAAGTTGGGTAAACATACCATAATACATTCCTTGTTTCCATTCTCCTCAAACCTGCTTGAATGCTGTGAAGAGCTGAACGGAGCCACTTGTAGGGGGCTAGCCCCACAGTTTGAGTGATTTATTATCTGGTTTCATAGGTCAGATATGGGCACAAATTCAGGAACAAGTAAAACTAAAACAGTTTCCACGAGGCTTGTGCATTCATGACCACGGACCCAGGAGCGCGGCTGTTGACCTGTGTGCAGCAAAAGCTGCTGCTCGTGTCTCAGGCCCATTTGGACTCCATTAGGGGCCCAAATTCCCCGTGATGGTTCTGTATAATTTCAGCGTACACCGTGCTGGAAAGCTCATCAGTGGTGAGTGAACCAATCTGCTGGCAATCTTGGTCACAGCAGGTGAGACAGAAATGGGTCTGTAATTTGTAATCATTACTTCTCTGCCTGAGATTAATCCTGGATCACCTACGGTGACAAAGGATGCCTCCTGGCCTCGGGAAGGACCCTTCTCCACTTGAAGGCCACTGAGGCTTTCGGTTTGCAAAGCACGTGTTGTCTTGACCATTGCTTGTTTTCATGTCCTGCCAACTTTTTCTTTTGCTCTACCCCTCTCTACAAGGCTGAATCCTTCAGAGTGTTTACTTCAAGTTGTCTTMTTTCTCAGGACTATGAAAGAGATGGGAGCGTGGTGGGATGGGATGGGAACCGTTACAGTTTTCCTTTTGTTATATTTACTCAGAAGGGACAAAGAAGTGATATAATGCACAAGTAGTTCTGGGAAGTGAAAAGATGTAGGTTTCTTAASACAGGGAGGTTCTACATACTGCCAGCTAGTTGATGTAAGGAATTTGGTCTAAAGATTCAGAAGATCTGAGGTGGCCTGTGAACCAAGGCCCTGAGGGCAGGGCAGCTCAGCTGCTCTGGCACTGCGATATGGAGTAAAAAAAAAAAAAAAGGAAATGCGCTTTCTGAAGCCTCTGTATTCAAAACCATTTTTTAACTGACCTCTTTAAGGTCTTCTCAAAGCTCCTACAGCAATGTTGTTTAGGAAAAGCTGCCTCTATCCCTGGCCATTGGTTACGTATCGTTGACCAGGGTTTCACTACTCACTGTTCCTGCTCGTGCCCCTCTTGGGGTGCCCTCATATGGCCGGAGGGGATATCTGGACTGTTGTCTCCTCAGACTGTGTTTTTTCCAATGCAAAAAGCTTTTAGTCAAGATCAGAATGGCTGCTTTAAGGATAGACTTCAATAAGARGAAATAACAAGAAAAAAAAAAAGAGAGCAAGATACGTGAATAGTTTGCAAGGACAGCTGTGAGATACCAATATTGAAAACAATAAATGTGGTCATAGCATTCATCAAACATAGCACTTCCAGGAAAGGTAGGGAGGTATTAAAAGCATTTTACGTTTCCTATCACCCCTTGATTCTCATCAAGAATAATAATTTCAGACTAGGAGAGCAGCTTTTGGGAGTGCTTAGGGCAGTGGAAAGCCTCTTTTATGACAAGCAGGAAGGAAAAAGAGCTGAAGGACGGTGTTGAGATGCGGACAAATAGAAATAAATGGCCTGCAATTAAATTGCAAATGGAAGAGTTTTTAACCGTTATATTGGTGACTGGATTGAATAATCCAGAAGGTCTTTTCCACTGTATTTCCTGTAGTGATGCTTTTTTTAAAAAAGCAATCATCTAAACCATTTTTAGGGGGGGGAGTTTGGATAAAATGTTAATGTTTTGAGATCTCAGTTTTCAAATAGTAAATGTATGAATTAATACACAATTAACTTAGAACCAACTTAAGAATTTTTTTCAAATTTCCAAACAAAAATTTGGGTTGCTTTTTGAATAGGTGGTTCTGTTTTCACTGCGAATAGTTCTCTTGAGCTGTGAATACCAAATTATGGAGCCTACTCGAAAAAGGACGGCCTGAAATACCTGGAAGAACTCTTATGTAAATTACTGATCGTGTCGTTGACCACTTTAATTGAGAAATCTGGTGAGTCTGTCGTGTGCCGGTTTCAAGGTAGTAGTAACAAAAGTTCTTTTCAACTTTCCCTTACGGTACTTGTTGACTATCGGTCTCGTGCCCGTATTTAGCCTTAGATGGAGTGTACCACCYGCTTTGGGCTGCATTCCCAAGCAACCCGACCTGGACGAGGGCACGGAATGCACCCTTAGCAAGTTTGCAGATGACACCAAGCTGGGTGGAGTGGCCGACACTCCGGAGGGCTGTGCTGCYATCCAGAGGGACCTGGACAGGCTGGAGAGTTGGGCAGAGAGGAACCTCATGAGGTTCAATAAGGACAAGTGCAGGGTCCTGCACCTGGGGAGGAATAA